AAAAATTTTATTTATTTATGCTTAATAGTTTTGGCATAATCTTATTTTAAAAGGTAATGATCTGTAATCTTAAATCAGGTGGTTGGAGACTTTGACCGGAAAGTGTACATGAAAACCAAAAATGCTGCTTGAATCACAAAAAATGCTTGAACATTATCCTCAAACAGTACATTGCTTTATTAACAAATGTAAATAAACAGGAAAAACCATGTTCAGAAAGATCACCAGTCCTTAACTTATACGTGAAGCACACAAATTAGTCAACAATTTAAACCTCACTTGTAATTTATCAACCGCCGCAAATGTATTACACAAACTCCAGGCTTAACTCACGTATCACAGCAAAGAAATCCTATAACTTGGAAACACATGCATATGCTCATATTAAATGGCGTGAAGAAAAATAAAAATAAGTTTGTGATTGAGTGAAAATAATTTTCTCTGATGAAACCAGCATTGAAGTTGAAAAGAAGTCACATAGCCAAAAGTTTAGCGGAATTCTGGAGAAAAGTTTAGATGTTAATAGCTTGGCTCCTGTCTTAAAAGTGGATGAAAATCATTAATTATTTTGAAATTAAAAGGACCATTAATTTTTTGTAATGAATATACAGTAAAAAAATAATTAACTTGAAATCTTTAAAATTCAATTATTTCTATTCAAGAATGCAATTAAGGAATTTTTCAACAAGATAATGCGCTAATTCATACTGGGGGAAAATTAAGGAATGGTTAATGGAAAATAAGATTATTAATTTGCCGGAGAATTCTCCAGACCTGAATCCAACAGAGAACATTTGAAAGAGATTAGAATAATATTCAAACAAATGAGACTCATTCGAAGACTGTGGATGAACTTAAGATTGCATTGAAAGTGAGGTGAGAAAAATTGATGTCATTTTAGAACGGGTATTGCATTAGTGCTATGAAGGATTAATGCGATATAGAAGTTAAATGGAGGTCTGATTAAATATTAAATAAAAATTTATTTTTTCGTTATACTTTTAGCCTTAAGAGTTGCATTATTGCCGCACTAGCAGAATACATAATTTGAAACTGGTTTTAAATAGCTTACTTTTTAAATTGTCTATTTCCAAGTTGTTTTATAAATGATTTCAAACTCTTCTATTGGAGAGAATTAAAAGCGGTCTACATTCGCTCGTTAGGCTTGGTCATGATATTTTGATAGAATTTTTGTATTTAGAATTTCGCAAGAAACATAAATTTTTGTTTTAATTTATTCTTTATTCGAGCACTATAATTATGCATTTATTATAAACACTGATTAATGTTTAATATTGACGCTCGAAATCAAATGTTTCTATCATCTCTCCTGCTATATCATGACCGTTTTCTCGGGCTCTTTTGTACCATTTTAAAGCCATGTCCAAATCTTTTTCAATTCCAAATCCGTATTGGTAACATTCAGCCAACTTAAATTGACCATGTTTATTTCCTAATTCAGCAGATTTCAAGTACATTTCAAATGCTTTATATTCGCTTTCTACTGTTCCAGTTCCATAAAAGTAACATTTTGCAAGATGATTGTAAGATGAAATAATGCCAGACTCCGCTGATTTTTGAAAATACAAGAAAGCTTTATTAATATCCTTTAATACCTCATATCCACCATCATAAAGAATGTTAAGAGACGCAGAATCAAAATTGAACTCCTTATTCTCTGCTTGTTTCAAATACCATTCGAATGCCTTTTTTTCATCTTTTTGTGTTCCAATTGCATTTTGATAACAATTAGCAAGCATAAATTGTCCTTGAACACTTCCATTTTCCGCTGATTTCAAATACCATTCAAATGCTTTTCTTTCATCTTTTTGTGTTCCAATAGCATTTTGATAAAAATAACCGAGTATAAATTGTCCTTGCGCAACTCCATTTTCCGCTGATTTCAAATACCACTCAAATGCCTTCTTTTCATCTTTTTGCGTTCCAATACCATTTTCGAAGCAATAGCCGAGATTAAACTGCCCTTGCGCATCTCCGTTTTGCGCTGATTCAAAATACCATTCAAATGCCTTTTTTTCATCTTTTTGTGTTCCAACTGTATTTTGGTAACAATTGCCAAGCATAAATTGACCTTGCGCATTTCCATTTTCCGCTGATTTCATATACCATTCAAATGCTTTCTTTTCATCTTTTTGCGTTCCCATGCCAATTTCGAAGTAATAGCCGAGATTAAGCTGCCCTTGCGCATCTCCGTTTTGCGCTGATTTATAATACCATTCAAATGCCTTTTTTTCATCTTTTTGTGTTCCAATTGCATTTTGATAACAATTACCAAGCATAAATTGTCCCTGCGCATCTCCATTTTCCGCCGATCTCAAATACCATTTAAATGCTTTTTCTTCATCTTTTTGTGTTCCAATACCATTTTCGAAACAATAATCGAGATTAAATTGTCCTAGAGCATCATCATTTTCCGCTGATTTCAAATACTACTCAAATGCCTTTTTTTCGTCTTTTTGTGTTCCAATTGCATTTTGGTAACAATTGGCAAGCATAAATTGTCCTTGCGTATTTCCATTTTCCGCCGATCTCAAATACCACTCAAATGCTTTCTTTTCATCTTTTTGCGTTCCCATGCCAATTTCGAAGCAATAACCGAGATTAAATTGCTTGCCTCCATTTTCCGCTGATTTCAAAAACCACTCAAATGCCTTTTTTTCGTCCTTTTGTGTTCCAATAGCATAATCATTGTGCTTGCACATCTCCTTCTATTGCATTTATTATCAGTTGACTAATGTTTTCTTAGATGTAGCTTTGATGAAGACTATATTTTCAATAATCGTGATTTTAATATACCGTACTTGAGATATTGTTTATACACCTATCGTTATTGACTGCTCAAAACAGTAAACAAAAGAAAGACAATCATTTATCTTGCGATTTGATTGGTTTACCTTTTAACGTGACGTTCGACTGAACAATTCATAAGCTGTTTTAACCAAAGAAGGAAAATTTCCTGCTCCGTCGCCAAATTGCTATTATGGGTTAGATCCTAAACGGATGGCATCCCAAACATGCGAAATTCCAAACGAATGAATGAACGCATCCCGAATGCACGAAATCCAGATATCATGTTTTTGGTATGCATTTGGAGCAATACTTCGGGGATTTCGTGCATTTGAGAGTTTTGAATGTATTCTACAAAATAGTTTGTGCAAGAATATCAGAATTCTCTTTTGCAATCGTTACTAATCAAAGGAGAAGTAGTATTAGTAAAATTACTAAGGTAAGTTTCGAATATAAATCTAATGTTGTTCTCTCAGAATTTCATCATTCGGGATGTCATTTATCCGAAATTTCATCCATTTTGAACATTCGGAAGGTCGTTCATTTCTCGAGCTTACGAATTGTTGGGATATCGTACATTAGAGTCTCATAGATTTTGCATAAAATAAAATTTTGAAAGAAAAGCTTCTCATACTAATCTAATTCGTCAAACAATCGCGTTTAATTTCCTCGTGTATATATTACAAATTCCCAGCACTCTCACATGCCCCGTTCCTATGCACCGTTGTCCGATTGCAAAATTTATTCATGTACTACCACGTGTTCTCCTAAAACGGCGGCGGCGTCATGAACCACGCTCATTTAAATCGATACGATCACTTGTCATTTCATGGTTCTCTTATGGAGTCTAGGCAGCTAGCCACGACACAGCTTCGGAGGCCATATAAAAAATTATCGGTCTGCAAGCTGTTAAAAATCTCAAACCGTCTGAGCCTCCGGCCAGCCGCTAAATGGCTTCGAACACTAATCTCATGATCAAATGACAAATGGTCGAACTGCCATATAATAAAACCACTCATTTACATTAATATACCATTTCATTTTTCAGATAGTTTTTTTCAATTATTCTCATAGAAAACACTCTGAAATACTTAAGTTTTGGCGTAACTAAATTGATAAATTTCATTAAATTAAGAAATTAAAATAATTTATAGGTTAAGAACTATTAATTCAGTAATTCCGGCCTGACTTTTGGTATTTTAATATTTGAGATGAAAAAAGATATTTAAACAAATTTGGCAACAAAACTTTGGCTTTAGAAACAAAATTTTACATAATATAATAATTTTCAAAGATTAAGATAAAGCATAAATTCAAAACTTGGAATAAAATTTGCACTTTTTAAAATTTTCTCTTTAATGGATGAGTAATAAAGTCAGTCGTTACTTTATAAGGATACATATGTTAAATACTTAAAATACTCATAATCTCTGTCCTATACTGCCATAAAAATTTCTGATCTGGCCTTTATCTGACATTGATTGTAGAAGGTTGTTGAAGATTTGTAGATTTATGGAAAATTTGAGATTATTTGTATAAATTAAAGTTTAATTCAGATATCTACAATCTTAAAATTTAATTATATATCTTCGCCGTCGTAAGCCGAATAGTATTGGCACGTTGACTTGTGATGGTGATTGCCAAACTGGAGAATACGATCATACGCAGCCAAACAACTACATGTATCAAATACATATAATAAAATAAATAGGATAATGGAATTAATAAATGTGACAGATTAAAATGAAACGTGGATGGAAAAAAAAATTTGGCCCTTTTTCAATTTGGTTTCATTTTAATTTGCGACGATAAATAACACGAAACAAACAACGAATTTTAAAGGGTCCAAAACTCACAGCCAACAAAATTCATAACCACAGTGACAACGCATATGGTCGCATCCTTCGTTCTTTTCGACTGCCATTCGGCATTCTGGACATTGTTTAGTGTACCTATCATGGTAAGCTTGGTTGGCGGTTTCATTTTCAGTTTGAATTTTTTCGGAGAATTCATCGCAAGTATGATCTTTGTGCCATGGAACGTCATGGGTAAAGCACGATTTCGAATGACAAGCAATGCAAGTCATAATTGGCTCGTCATCTATTTAGTAAAAGCAGAACAAAAAAGAAATTTAGAATAATAATTCAAATACATGTATTTGTAAAAGCATGCATGCATCAATGTTCAACAAAATAGTAAAGAAAATACCGCCAGTCGTATGCTCTTGTCCTGAACCACATTCTGGATTTTTGCACCAACGAAAATCCTTTAATTTACGGATGGCATGACAAAGTAGAAGATTGTCATATCTAACATTATTTAAATAATGTGAGTTTAAATTCTTGGCCTTTGTATTTGGAAAGAATATGAAGAATATAAAATACCTTTCGAAAGTTTCCTTAGAAACAAGCCTTTTAATATCATGATATGTCAATTTAACACGACATCCAGGCTTAGGACACCGAATATTAATCGCAGTTTTAGTGTTTAATTCAGCTTCGATATGTTTACGCACGCACAAACGACATGTACACTCGTGGCCGCAAGCTTCGGATACCTTTTCAAAGCGGCGAGTCGGTTCAAAACAGATAATGCACTTGTTTATAAATACGACCATTTTTGGTCTTTTTTTAGAGGAAAAATAGGAATTTGAGACTTTCCTTGCTATCATGTAATGTTGAATCGAATTGTCGTTTTATGCTTTTTAATGGGGGCAAATCTTAATATAAAATACTTTGAATTTTTTAAATTCAGGTAAACCGTTGAGATTTATCGTCTGATTGAAATGATTGAAAGCAATGGTGGTGAAAATTTGCTTCACAAATTTCATCTATCTAAGCATTATTTATCAAAAAAATATCTTATCTTAATTTATTTAAGCACGAAAAGCATAAAGCAAAAAAATATCATACATAGAAGTTATAAAAACTACTACCGTTACTGTTGACTCGGTAATCTCTCTAGCTGCTTGTACTTCTGCAATGCAATACATGTACTGTCACACTCAATTCAGGAGTTAGTTGACTAAAGAATAGTAGATTCGAGCTTAGACTGAATGATTTACAGATTGTGGTCGCCTATGCAATCTTTCACAGATTGTGCGAAAGTTAAGTTCAAAATAAATATTTAGTTTTAACTAACAAAAGTAATAGCAGTTTACTACACAAAAATACAAATTCAAATATCAAAAATAATTACAAACGTTTATAACATAATTTAAATAATGTTCAATTCAAATAACAAAAGTAGTTCATTCCAAATAATAGAAGTAAAATTCCAATCAAATGATCAAGCGAAATGCATCAACTTTTTTATGGCAAAAGAGTAAATCCTTCAATTTTGTTTGAGCATAAAAGAAATAAAGCCGAATTATAGTTAGATAAGAATTTAAATTAATTTTATTTAGTTATTTTTTTCTTTCAAAGCACACATTACCTATCTCCTGGACCTTTTAAACCAATTTCTAAAGTACAAAATGAAAGTTTTTATATTATAGAAGTAATAACCATGTAAAGAAGTAAAGAATATCTAATGAATGATATTAAAAATAAGTTATTATATGTACATGTATTTAGTTTTACATTAGTGTTAGATCCAAGGTACATAAACATTTTTTCTTTCCTCTTTTGCTTATTATTATAACACATGTGTTGCAATTATTTCACTAAAATCTGCAATTACGGAAATCATGAAGGGAATCGTCCTGACCGACAAATATTCCACAGCACCACACATTTCCCGACACGTTCATAACCGCGCCCGCACCCCTTAATTGCAGCATTTTTTAGCACACGAGATCGCATTATGCCCCTATTTTTCCACATTTTCTAGTATACATTGTCGATACTAAAGATCGTGATAATTTGCCTCCTTATTTTTCCGCATTCTTCAGCACACGTTGTCGATAATCGCGACGACTTTCTTTCCCCCATTTTTCCAGCATTCTTTAGCACAATCATTAGTATAATGGACCACGCCACTCTTACTTTACTAATCCTTTACCACCACCCGATGATCTATTAATGTAATAAAGAATTTAGTTAGAATTAGAATAGTATATTTTTTTATATATAGTAACAAATAACAAAATGTATAAAACGAATGGCTCTAGGCCTTTAAATAAAAGAACAGAAATAAAATTGCGTACATTACCTTTTCTCCAAGAGAAATACTTGTGAAAAATCGCTCCATAGAATCGTAATTCTAACGTGTTGGTTAGGTTCTTTCCACCAGAAAAGACGACGAATTGGTTAGGTCCTTTAGTCCAGAAAGGCGAAACACATCATTGATTGAATGATTCGATTGATCCGAGTTTAAGGCTTTTATCTAGAAAAAGCGCAGGAATAAAAGAATAGATTAGTTAATAGTTAATACACGAAATCCCCTTTACCCTTCCCCATAATTACTTATTCACTCACTTTAGAAACGCCCATAACAAACGATATCCGCAGATATCGGCACTAAATTTAGACCACAGGTGAAATTAGTCTAATTGCCCTCTCCCACCATAGTCACGGTGCACAAACTTCCCCAAATCCACGTAAATCCAACCCACCTGTGACAGTACATTCATTGAAATACCAAATGTCGATATACATGCGCACTGACAAATCAACATGTATACTAGACCGGATTTAGGCATTGCTAAGGGACTTTGATTGTACATGTACATGTATTACGTTATATGTGTGTCTATTTAGAGTATACATTTACGTGTACTTACATGTATATTTTACGCGATAAAAAAACTCCTCTTCATCAGCAATATATGGCATGAGTAAAGAACTAAAAAGATTAGGATTTTTTTTTTTGATTGTAACTCGTATACACCAATACTACGGAATGTAATGAAAAAACGAGCGTAAATAAATTAACGATAAATAATTAGAAACGTCTCTCTTTCCTTTTTTTTAATTAAAAGTCGTATATACCAACCTAGCTCTCCGCATGTATAAACATTATTTATGAAAAAAAGGGGTGTAAACAAATCAATGATAAAAATCGCGACGGAATAAAAGATTAGAAACGTTTTTTTTTCCTCTTTTGAATCATTTATGCAACCCAACTCATCGAAATACTATAATGTATTAGTATATAATAATATATTAACTTGTTCAGTTTAATCTTTGAATATAAATACACCAACTTTTCTTTCGTTTTCTAAATATCTTCAAATTAAAAATTGTTTATTACTGTTTTATTAGAAAATCATGAATCCGGTACAAAACCAACAACAAAACCAGCAGCAAGTAAATAAGCCATTGCAACTTCCCACCACAACCAGCAAATTCTATTATTATAAATGGAAACATTAATATTTTTCAATGACCCTTAACTTTCACATCAAATCAAAATGACAAAATATTTCGATTGTGCTCTTAGAATCATATCGTTAACAAAAACTCGTACTTTCCTCTTATTTCTTAATCTCTTTCTATAACAGCAGCATTATTATTTCTATATATACTCTTTTATACATATTTTAGATTTAATCTCCATTCCTTTTTTTTACCATTTACAGTTACTCGGAAATGCAATCTATTGAATTAAGCTCCCGATTCCATTATTTACATATTTTTCTTTCATGTAAATTAAACATTCTTTCCGTTCTGTAAAACTAATTATTTAAGCTTAATTATTTCTTAATATATTTCTTATAAGTATAAATATTAAAATTAGTTATATAGGTTATCATAAGTTAGTGCTATATTGTTACCCATAACGATAAATTTCGTAATTCCTTAATTTTTTCTTAATATGAAATCGTCGTTTTGTAATAGTAACTACATGCACATGTATTGACTTTTGACATTGTGGGATCGGTAACAATTAACGTTAATATTTGACGATACATGTAGTATGTAATTAATTTTTTGACGATAGCGATAGTAATATTGTTGCAACCTAAAGAATCACAATTTGTTATTGCTCTTGTGTTAGTTTGATGTCATTATCGTGATTATTATTATTCGACGATTGTAAAAACAATTCTCTCATTTTGTTAAAACTGTCTATCGATTGAGAGTCTTTACCTTTATTGTCTGCACAGCCGTTGAATGTATGTTTGTTACTTATCTTTTTTACTGGTACTTTTTTCTTAATCAATAAAGACTTGCAATGTTCTGTTGTAGCGGTTTTCAGATTTATGTATCAAATTTGCTGGGATTCGAAGACTTTGTTGCAGAGGATTCTGACCATCTATAGTTCTTATTATTAAAGACAATCATTGGCACAGTTAAACTGTCTTGCAAATGTTTTTTCATTCTAATCAAATCAACTGAGATTCCGTGCCATTCTTTAACAGACAATACTCGTCAAAACTTGTAGTTTGAAAATTGATGGCTTTCCTTACATTTATGAATGTAAGTAAGAATGTTGTATGTCTTACATTTATACAACGTATAAATTTGGAGAAGAGTCAAAATTACTTATAAATCTTGTGATTCTTGCTATTCATTTGATTCAATATCTGTCAATAAGATTTATTCTATATATAAAACCAAACCTTTTATAAAGTAAAATACTAACTGGTCAAAAACTTTTTTCCAATGTGTCAAGTTCTCAACATTTAACGTTAACTGGCCACTACTACATGTAATACAATCCCAAGGGTATCGGTTTTAGTTGTGGTTGAGTATTTCACGCAAAGACGACAATGATATATTTGATTCTAACGGAACTAATCAGGAGGAGATTCTAAGAATCGAGCGTATTTGAGAACTTAACAGCTCAAAATATTTGGTGAGATATTTAAAGATCCTATTTAATATTTAGAACAATCAATCGACCTTTCTTCTACATTGTTAAATTGCATCGTCATCAAATTTGTCAATATGAATTTATTAGCGTTAGTTTCACCTATGCATTACATGATGCATCATAGTTGCGCGTTATGTTTCGGCTTTAGATTCATTTTCTATTGAATAATCAATGGCTCTGATTAATATTAATTTTGAACATATGCTTTGAATTGTTCTATATAGCAAAACTAATTTAAGATATATTGCTGCAAAGAGTCCTAAATTATTGTTAATACTTTAATTGACTTCTAATAAACTTTATTGTCTCTATTCGTTTATGTTATTTGTCTGCTTAAGTGAGTTATAATTTCAGTTGATAGTTCGTACGCCAATTATTAAAAACGTCATAACTACAATCTCTCGTTGAAGATAGTATATTTATCAACTTGTTAAATACAAATGTAACAAATATTGTCACCAGTATGCGTTAAACCTATTATTGTAATTCTCTTAAAAGTTCTTTAAATTTTCAAAAAATTCTTTATTTTATAAATCATTCAGTCTAATTTCACATAATTTTTATGATCACATTTATTTATTGAATAAAATTCACTTGTTAATTAAAAAGTAATATTACTTTTGATATTCATCATAAATTTCTTGATGTAAAGATTCTTATTAGCGTTAGGTCAAAGAAAATCATAATAAATAAATTATTTATAAATTTGGATCAAAAATTATTGCACATTAAAATAAAACTTAGAAAGACAAATACGATATATAATATATAAGTCGGAATACTACATATTTAATTATAATATTTATATATAATTTCAAAGTTAAATAAATGATCAAAGTTTAAATATTTTTAACTATT